GATTAAGTCCAAAAGTGATAAATGGAGAAATAGGCAAATATAGTGTTTTGACTAAAATGTTAACAAAAATTGCATTTTGTCAAAATATAATGAGTAAAAGCCTTATCAATGTATCAGTTGAATGAACTGTCTGAAATATAATCATAAAACAAAATTTTGAAGCCCTATTTTGAACAGTAGCAACAAAAAAACTGATTTTGAGGGAAAACGCCTTAAATTTTTAAGATTTTCCCTGTGAGCTAGCAAAGTGTTGTTTTTTTTAGCTGGGAAATTTCAATATTCAAATAAAATCCGAGGTTTCCACTTTACAAGGACATCAAAAATTCCTCATTAAAATGACATCAAATTAGGATTCAGACCAAATATTAATGCATTATTGTAACCAACAAGACAAATTAAGTCATATATATGGATTTAATTARGATATCAGAATGATCCAGGTATCAAAATGTAGCTTTTAAAGCCAAGAATCTGAAAATGTAATTAGGTCATTTTGACCAAATTCGACTTAATCCTCATTTTGATATGATGGGTCACAAATATGTAACCTCATCACACTAAGTCGTCTTGTCCTGCACGTTCTTTCTGCGAGATGTGTGGAAGTATGTGTGATCCTGTTGTGAAGGGTCCTCCCACTGGGTGTGAACTGAGTTCAGATGTGGCACAGAGGGTGGTGTGAAGACGCGTGCATCAGGAGGTGGTGTGGAGATGCTGGCCTTGTCTGGGACAACAGGAGATGAATCCACAGCGCAGTCTGGTAAACATCAACAACATTAAAATGTACACAGTCTTTGCATAGTAGAAACAGTCTTTGCATAGTAGAAACAGTGAAGTGTCACTTATTTTTGTAATTTTTGTTTAACATTGTGAGGAAAAGTTTCTCATTCAACACTTTCACACATCACATGCCCTTGTGACATGACTTTGAATAAGGGAGATATAATTAAAGTATGGATGATTTTGATTTATTGAAACCAAGCTGGCATACTAAAAGTGACTAATGTGGTAAGACTTACTTAGGGTTTCCGGAGTTCTGATAGGCTTTGCTGTGCTTTCTCCCTTCTTGAACTTGGGAAAGAATAATCTACATGGGCTCTCCAGATGAGGTAGTTGCTTGCAGACGTGCATTTTCATTGAAATGCATTGCAGCCAGGTACAGTCTGGTTAAAATAGCATAAAAGAATATTGCATGTTAGTTTGAAGTTGCACCATTAAAACTCATCTAACACACAGTATTTTGAATAACAACAAAAAAAAACATAAATACAGAGTGACTAAAACAACACTGCAGCCGATATTTTTTGGCCGATTCTTGAAGCCGATACTACTTTTAATTCCTCCCTCCATTAACATAATAAAAATAAGAATGATAACAAATGTTACACGAGTCTTAATTTAAAACAAAACAAACTAAAAAAAACATTTATTAACTAAGCTTTGTCTGAAGAGGCTGTATAAAGTGCTGCCACACAGGATTTCTTCTTTCAGCCCTTTCTTAAAAAAATAAAAATAAATAAATTCATTACTTATATCTCTAGTGCTAAATATTCTGTTTTTATTTGTATATTAATAAGATTAATATATTTTGTTACATAAAATGACTATGTTCCCAGCTTTTTTGATGCAAAAACAGCAACACAGAGAAAAAAAGGAGAGACACACATCCATCTTGCTATCCTTATGAGGACTTCACACACACAGCGCTCACAGCTTCTCTGCCTCATTCTGCTGCTCAAGTTTTTAACACCAGGCAAAAAATGCATTTAAAACAGATGACATTAACTTTAGATCACAGTTTGAAATGCTCCAGCACTTTTAAAAAGAAAAACAACACGGACACGCTGATTACAGTGCGGGGCGAAAGTGAAAGTAAAACATGGTGCTGAGCACCCGTTCGGTAAAGAAACTTAAACACAGCTGTTCTTTCTCCCCTCATATTCCGACACAGAGGGTAGAAACAGCTAAATTAGACAGTTAAAACACATTTACAGTTCATAACTCACCCTTGTTGTTGTAACATTCATCCTGTGTTGTCCGCAAGCACTTTCCGCCCTGTTGTGGGTCCATTTCCTTGAAAAATGAAACTTAACCAGGCACTTTGAAGAAGCTCTGCTCTGACGCTGGTAGTCTATGTAGATAATAATGTGGGTTTACACACCCCAGAACCGAACATTTTGACTTCTGAACTTGCATATTCGGCATGACGCTATGAACTACAAAATCACACAGCGAGGAAAAAAATGGCGGACTATGAAATCCAGTTGGCCGGAAATACATTACCATAAATGGTAGTTCCGAAGAAAAATGTGTGACGAAATAAACAATGAAACGAAATAAGCAACAGCAGATTTTGAACAAACTGAAAAATTTGACCCATAAAATAATGTAAAAATTTCTTTGCAGTAACTGGACAGAATTAATTTAAGTTTTCTACACTCCTAGACACTATAATTGCACAAACAATAGTTTATAAAATCAAAAAAGTGCATTTAGCATGATATGTCTCCTTTAAGTTATACTTGTGCGTGTTTTACAAGCCCTGTCACCAGTTTCGTCAGATTGGATGACGTTGCATGAATAAAGATCTAAGCTGCAGCAGCTCAGTCCTGGTTGCAGCAGGATTCCTACCTGCTGGTTGCTCTGCAGATTTAAGAACGCTGAGACTTGCTGCTGCTTCACGAAGAGCTGCTGATGCTGTGTGGGTGGTGGCTGCACGTTAGCCGTCTGTGCATCAGCCTGTGCAGTGGGAGCTTGTTGAGCAGGCTGGGCGGGAGCTGCAGCTGAGGCACCGATACCAGCACCTGGATGAAAGGAAAACCAAAGAATGAGAGGGAGTCACGGTCATTTTCAATCTGAACTACGGAAGCCTGGAGGGAAAAAAAACAAAGCAAAACGGTTATTCTACAACTCAAAGGGTAAAGTGACGCCTTATTTTCTTTAAAACAGAATGCAAGAGATCACAGAACAACTCAAACACTCTGTCTTTAAGCCTTGGCTTAAAAATATGATTCTCATCCCACTGAGAAAATTTAAACTAAAAATTTCACTCAAAAATGTCTGAGGATGTAAAAGTGTGTCAAATAAATAAATCACGTTTAATCTAAAAGATATAAAAACTACAAACAATATTACCCGAAAGCAAATGTTTTTTTTTCTTTTTGAACACATTTAAAGGTCCATCAAAGGAGTCACCATGAACTAACGTCTAAAACAGAGGTTCCCAAATTTGTTTGTCTTCTGACCCACAAAATAATCATGGCAAAAACTTGTGACCCCAAATATTACTGGTCTGGTCTGAGTACACGAACTCCATTAATAACCCTAAAAACACAGGCTTTTTGAAAATCTAAACAGCTTGTATACACATATAAATAACTTACTTATACTTATTCTGTGTTTTTGTAATAATTATAGGAAAAATATTACAGCAGCAATTATTTTATTACCCTTTAAATTGATTTCTGGTGATTATCCAAGGTGCTTCGTGACTCACAATTGAGTCCCAAGCCCAACTTTGGGAACTGAAGTGCAGTGGTTCTCAAACTTTTCAGCTTTTGACCCACAAAATAACAGTAGCAGAGACCTGAGCCCCGAGCTATTTTTGGATGATAAACATTTGTATCAGGTCAACAAAACATGGGCATAGTAACAATATTTTTATACTACATTTATCCATTTTAAATGAACCTCACTCCTCTGTAACAACTAAGGCAAAAATGTAATAATGCAGAAAATATTTTCAGGACCCCACCTTGATGTTTTGGGACCCCACTTTGGGAAACACTGGTCTAAAAGTACGTGTATGTAAATAGTAAGCATCATAAAACTTATTCTCTTTTCAACTGGACCGCAGAGGAGTGACTTGATCAGCTGTACAGTTCATATCGTAAGGAACTTGACAACTCCACTAACATTTTTACCAGATTCCCCAGCAGAAATATCAGAGTTACTCTTACCTACAGCCGGTGGTGTTCCTGTGGCCGCATTAGGCCTCTTGCGTGGAGTGAGAGCTGGCTGGATGGGAAGGATGCCTGATATCGGCTGGGACTGGGCCTGCCCTGCTTTGGGTCGCTGTCGAGGTGCAATTGAGGTTTCTGTCGTGGGAACTGGGTCTGTGAGCCTGATGAGGGAAAACAAACAAAAATAACATTTAAAAAGAGTAAAAGTGGCAATGTTATGTTTTAAATTGCATGGTTAAGTTTGGCAAAACTGTAATTAGTTCGGCCCCAAAACTACTTTCAAATCCTCCTTTTTGAAAATCACATGATTCCCTGGAAATTAAAAAACCACCTTAAAACTTGTTTTTGCACCAGTAATTTGCTTTGCTTAAAAACATTTATAAGTTTTATAAAGTGTAGTTTTACAGACATACAGTTTAACTGGCCCAAGTAAAAAAAAATCCTCTCTGAGGGAAAGTGAAGCAGGAAAACAAGGGCAAAAACATCATTATATTCTTATCAGTTTTGATCTATTTTGTTTCTACTCACCTGGCTTTGGTCTGACTCTTTTTGGCTACAGCTTCACTGGCTCTGATAGGCTCGGGAAGTTTTGCAGGAATGGGTGAATTCTAGAACAGTAAGAAAATCAATACCAGTAACTGTTTACAGCACATAGCCACATAGATATGTGTTACACAGTTACACTTCAACAATGACGAGCATCTTTCATGACCATATCATCATTTTCTATTGTAACAGAAATGAACAAAAACTAGAAAGTGATATATCTCAGATTTCTGCCTCACCGAGTAAAGAGAGAAATTAAACTAAACAAGATAAGACTGAGTAAAAAAAGATCTTAAATTCTAAAACATATCCTCATTACACTTTTCTACGATCATCCTTACGTATAAATTTGGGACGGGGCACTCTCGTCGAGCCAGTTTGAAGGCGATGTAGGACACTTGGTAGATATCTGGTCTCATATCTGGATCAGGTTCCAGCATGTATCCTAAAATATAACAAGCATAAAAAGAGAATGAGATAGAAATGTAAAATACAAATATACATTTACAGGAGGTTTGCGCATTAGGCAGGACAGTGCAAAGCAAAGTTACTCACTGATGAGACAGTGCATTTCCTGGGAGTAGCGGGAATTGTCAGGGATGGTAAAGCTGCCGTCACAAATAGCCACTTGGCTCTCACCAAAAGGAAGGGTGAAGAAGCAAAGCTTATAGAGTAGACAACCTAAAGCCTGTAAAGATAAGAATCATGTCAGTTCTTGCTCTGAACATTTAAACGCCACAAAATAATCTCATCCTGTAGTTTACATATTGCTGAGTAAGTAATTTTTTTAAGAACTCCAGTCCGACCCAAATATCTGCTTTTGTTGTGATGACTTTTTCGCCGTAGAGGTTGACCATTTCAGGAGCCCGATAAGAGAGCGTAGTGTACCTGAAGACAGGAGCACAGATATGAGCTTTTGAACTGTACAGACAGGACAAGAGGAGTTTAGGGTTCATGAGAGAAAAAAAAAGTAAACATACTTTTTTATTTCTTCTTCTACGACTGCAACTCCCTCTGCCTGGGGATTCTGGAAGCGATTGGTGGCACTTCCAAAGTCACAGAGCACGTAGTGTCCCTGGTCATGAAGAAGAATATTTTCCACCTACATTAGGGAAAAAAGATAAGACTTGTCAAAATACTTTCAAAATAAACTCAGCGTAATAAACAGTAAGTAGCAATTAAGTGTTATTAACTCACCTTGAGATCTCGATGGATGATGGGAGTCTTGCACTGATGAAGACGGGCGACTGCTTCACATGTGTCACAAAAGATCTGCAACACTTCAGCTTCACTGAAACCTGTCTGTAACCGCTGGTTCATAAGGTTTACCACCTGCCCACCTACAGAACAGGCAAAGAAACCCCAATTGATCAGCACAGTAGTAGTTTAAATGAAAAACTTCCATTGTTTGAATCTTAATGACATGAAACTGTGGGGTTTAATAACTTACCATTTAAATTAACTCAAGTGTTTATTACCATCTACATATAACAGAGAAGCAATGATTTATCTAAATATATTTCCAGATATTTAAACACTTCTTTGAAAACTGTGCTCTTTAAATGCTTCATCAACTACAGTGCATCTCAATTGCAACAAAACATTAAATGTGAACTGAAGTTACTGTTGACAGATGACTTTTTAACATACAAAGGCAGGGTGCAGAAAAAAGCAGCTGAGGATAATGAAGCATTGAGTTCAGCGTGGGGGGTGGGCAGATTTACCTCGACAGAAGTCCATTAAGATCAGGACTTCCCACACATCACCAGCTCCGACTGCAGTTAAACTGGAGTCCAGAAAACCAACTATGTTTCTGTTGCCAACTAAATCTCTCTGTGTAAACAAACAAACAAACAACAAGGAGTTGTGATAAAAAAAAAGATGTATTCTAAATCATTGTACAGTTTGAACATGTTAAAAGACATCCATGTTTGAGACTTTAGTTTCTTTTTAATCTTCTGAGAGAAGAAATATTCCAGATAACCATCCACTGTTAGTCATTCCAGGGCGTGGCTGCAGGAACTGGGTATTTACACAAACAGTAAAAGACTCCATTTGGGAAATGGGACATGGAAGTAAACTCAGACATTTTAAAAGTGAATTCCACATATTAACCCATTCAGACTTGAGGCGCCATTTAAGCACAGCGATGGCACAACCCACGTAGCAGAAGTTCACTATGACAATTTAAACGTTTTAGCTTCCTTTAGTTAGCACCGCCTTTCTCAACTTCAACATTTCTTTTCCCAATAATCTTTAATATCTTATAAATGGAAACCTAATATTTGACTAAATCAAGCATTTTAAAAAGGTCATGTCTATATTTTACTGCTATAAAAATTCCTGTTAAAATAGGTTTGACAACTCCAGAATCATCTACTAGTGCTTTTGGTGCATTCAGCAGTGACTGGTTCTTACTCACCATGATCTGTATCTCAAGTTTGCAGACCTGCAGGTCATGCTCATTGTTGACGTACATTCGTTTCAGTGCACAGCGCTGGCCTTGGTGTGTCCGCACCAGGAAAACTATTGCAAAACCTCCTGCAAATAAGAATTGACGTGATAAATAAAACACAGCATAACCAATAAAATATATGATTAGCAGCATGTTTAGCAGCACCAACCACAAAACTTAACACATCCTATAATGCAGGTAACAAAATTTGGGAACTACTCCTGCGACATTTTTATGTACAGTATTTAACCACTGAAATAAAAATACAGATGCAAGGAAAGCAGTGAATTAACTGAGTGTATTGTATTTTATATACTGTGAAAAGTGATCGATTGGTTGACTGGTACATTTTTGATATAAACTTAAAATAGCAATGTGTGAGTCAGCAGTTGTGAGAAGAAAATCAAGAAAAGGTCATGGAAAAGAGAAAATTCATTATCCTATAAATAACAGGGATGAAAATGGTCATATACATGCACAATAATAAAATAACATAACCATACATTTGAAGGGTTAATCATCTACTCACAAATTATATCTGAATTAAGCAGTGTAGCGAAACAATATTTAATATATAAGATCAAAATTAAATGTATCAAAACTGATATATATTTAAACTCTTTGTGTTAAATGTAATCTAAAATCACAGAAATGAAAAATATGAACATATGTAGTTCAGTTTTAAAGCACCAACGCCCTGACTTGAAGAAATGACTGAGTTTAATGCAGCTTTTAAATTTTCATATCAAGTTGTTGGCAGGCAGCAGCTTTGAAGGTTTTGTTGTCATGTTTGTTCTTCTGATGCCTGTTTTTCTCACACAGCTTGTGGTATAATGCTCAACGCTGACTCATCCAGCTGGTTTCACTAAGCTTCACTGCGAAACCTCCAGCTGACGTTTGATTAGCACTGGATAGAGCTGCATTTTAGCCATCTGTATGGTTAAATAATCACTGGAACAAAAGCCTGTTTTACAGTACTGTCTTCTATAAGACAGAGTGGGAATGAGTCATGATAATGCATAAAAAGTGTGCACAATTCCTCAAACAGCTGCAGCCAGGAGAAAGAAAAACAGCTGAGAGCTGGACTCAGAAATTAGTTTTGTTGTGATATGTAAGGAAAGTAGGGCTGCCACGATTAGTCGATTAATCGATTATTAAAATAAACGATGACTAATTTAATAATCGATTAATCGTTTGGGGGTTTTTTTTTGTTCTTTACTTTGTTTTTCTCTCCAAACTGCTTTGACACCTTCCACTGCCACATCTGCCTTTCTGTCCTTGACACGCATGCACAGTAGTGGTAACTGGGGTAGGCCGTGGACGTCACAAGACATTAGACAGACAGGCTCTGGTATCATGACTACTCTGCAACAGAGCTCAAAAGTGTGGGATCATTTTAAGAAAATGAAAGAGAAACCTGTGCAATATCTGCAGAGCAGAACTTGTCTTCCACAGCAAATTTTTAGTTAGCATATAGCTAAAATCTAACGATGGTTATATAATAGCATCTGCATTCTGGCACGATAAGCTGTATGTTTTATATTCAATTAACGTATGATCTAATTAGTCGACTAATCAAAAAAATAATCGGTGATTAATCGATTATAAAAATAATCGTTTGTGGCAGCTCTAAAGGCAAGTTTCTCATTGTGCACATGAAGTTCAGTTAAAAGACAAATGACAAACTGAAACCTGGATGCTGAAGTACAACAGAGCTGATCATGGCCGTGTGTGTGTGTGTGTGTGTGTGTGTGTGTGTGTGTGTGTGTGTGTGTACACATGTAGTCCATCCACGTGAAAATAGCTGAGCCAATGCTGTTGTGGCAATCTAATCTGACATTCAGGTGGGAAAATAGAAAGATTACAAGCCTGCTTAGCAAAGGGCTATATTCTGCACAGACAGTGTGACTAAATGACTAAATCCACCTACAAATAGTCGCTGTCTCCTGGCGTAACCAATTGTTGGGATTACTCCACTGAAGCTCGTGCAAACATAGCAAAGCAAGTGCACAAAAAACTATTTTATACATTATTGAAAAAAACAATTCATGTCTGAGATGGAAAAGTCCTTTAAGCCATTATTACATGTATACATGTTCTTAGACACAACATAAATAACTGCACTATAGGTGTTGGTCTAACTCAAGTCACAGCAAGCTGTTCACTCAACTTCTTCGAGGTTAATAAACAAATACACAAGGAGTGCCACCAAATAGCACCATGGATCAACTTTAATCAAAGTAAAATAACATGAATGTCTAATCATACATTTAAAAACCTTTTTTTATTAACAAAATGGTTTGCTATAAGAGGACAAAAACATTTGTAAATCGCCCACCCAGATGTTCTTGCTTTTGTCAGTTTGCATGTACATGTTACCAAAATATATACCCTGAGGGTTAACAGATTTTGCAGGAAGTATATGTGAGAAATACAGACATTGTTCAAATGAGATTATTAGTTGTGTTACTGTTTTTGTGTATTTGACTGTACAAAGACACCCCACACTTTATTT